CTCACTTTTACCCCTTTCACTTCACCAAAAGTACACATATGAAAGGCTCTAGGGACCACCTAATTATCAGAACCAATAGGAGTTTTCAGTCCTCACCTTAAGTGACCCTGGCAATGACTCCCTCCTTAGCTTCACTGATATAGATAGCTGCTTTCCCCAGTTTTCTCCTGCTACCCAATCCCTCCTTCAGCTTCCTTTTAAATGTTGGTGTTTGTCAGGATTTTGTCCTTAACCCACTTCTTCATACAATCTCCCTGCTTATGTCTATACACATAGGCATAAAGATTTCTACCTACATAAGCTAAAACGCTCAAATTCTAAAAGACCACAGCCTGTTTCTCTCTCCAGCTTCATTTTTTTAATTCATTGAGGTAACATTGGTTAATCTAGCCTCATTTTCCATAATTGTCAAATTACTGTATTTCTGTGATAGTGATTTGGTCTCTTCTTACCTGTATCCGATTTCCCTCTACCTGACTCCCACCTCCACCTAAGATTGCTCTTCAAGATTCAGCTTCAGTGCTACTTCTGGGAAACATTCCAGAAGCACAGCACAGCCTATGTTGGGTGCTCTTCCTTTGTATTCACCCAGCACACTCAAATTGGTGCTTCTAATAGTCTGTGTATTTCTGTTTATTTCACTAGACTTGTCTTCTTGAAGGCACGAACTTAATCTGCACGTATAGTTCCCTGCACAGGGCTCAATAAATATCTGTTAAATTGATAAACAGTCTAAGAAATCCCTTGTAAAGTATGGCATAGGGAATATAGTCAATAATATTGTAATAACTCTGTATGGTGCCAGGTGAATACTGACAATATTGGAAGAAATGCTTTGTGAAGTTTATGATTGTCTAACCATTGTATACCTGAAACTAATATAAAATAATATTGAATGTAAACTGTAATAAAAAATGTCCAAAAAAAGAGAAAAAAATCCCTGAACTGTGAATAGTTGAACACAAAGGAAAAGGAGGTTGTTGGTGGTGTAAGCCAGGGATATTTAAAACTTGAGTATTTAGAGCTTTTTCCCTTTCCCTTCATAGAGGCAGCCAGGGCTGGTAGGACTAGAGGGGCATGAGGGTCAGAGCCAAAGAGATGGTTGAGCTGGCAAGGCAGCCAGGATGTCAGGGCTGGAAATTGGTTACATACAGGAGAAATGACCAATTGTTTTGAGGATAAAGGGAACCAGGTCTGTCACTACCTGAGAATGGAATTATAGGGTAGATGCCAGGATGTACCCTGTGTTGTTGAACTGAAACAGGAGGTATGAATTTGAATTCATGATTTTTAATAGATGAACAGATATAAATATGTGTGGATCTATGCTGAGAAGGCCTTTAAACCATGATGCCCCCCCCCCAGTGGCAGTGATTATACCAGTGTCTAGCCTACACCTTGATTTTGAAATACCATTCTCCATTAAAAGAAATCAGGGCTCCTTCGAGAAATGGCTGATCCTAGGGCTGGGGCAAGGAAAGTATGAATCTGGGACATCTTATGCCAGAAAGTAAAGCACTGCTCAAAAAATCATAGGGATTTGTCAACAGGACTCAGGAGCTGGCATGGAGGGGCACTCACCGTCCAAATCTGAGAGATGAATATCAATATAATCATGGTAATGGGTTAAACCCCATTGACTAAAATAGGAGTCCATGAATCTACATTGATGTAAATAAATAGTAGAGAAGGGAATTTTCTTTATAGTAGAATGACAATTAATAAATGTAGTAGAAATGATAGAATTAGAGAGTCACCATTAGATAGCCATCATAATACCATCAGAGAAGAAAGATCAGTGGATACTAATAGTAGTAAGTGAAAGTTTCATGAGGAAACAAGATATGTAATACTCTCAAAGGATCTCTATACAAATATTTTATTATTTTCAAAGGGAAAACACTAACTGTTCAGTGGAATAACATGGTAGAACCAATTTAACCAAAGGATCAAGGTTACCATCACCAGTATTAGGACAGTGACAGCATGTGCCTCCTGCTATGATATATTGAGAACACAGCATTGCTTATGTAGTATTCCTGCCCAAAATAATAATTTAAAAAACACCTGAATTTAATAACTAGGAAACATCAGTCAAACCTAAATTAAGGGACATTTCTCACAATATCTGACTAGCACTTTTCAGAAATATGAAGGTCACCAAAGACAAGGAAAGATCGGGGAACTTCCAGATTGAGGGAAACCACACACATAATGATTAAATGTAACATATAATACTGGCTTGAATCCTGGGCCAGATAAAAGATTTCTTTTCCTTTTGCTTAAAGAGCATTATCGGGACCATAGGAAAAATTTGAAAGGGGTCTGAAGATTAAATGGTATCAAAGTTAACTTCCTAATTTTGAAAGCTGTAATGTGATTATGTGGAATGTCCAAGTCTTTAGAAAATTTTCACTGACGCATTTAAGGATAATAGGGCATATCATGCCTGTAACTGTTGGTTCAGAAAAAAAATGTGTGTACATACACACGTAAGATAGATAGATAGATAGATAGATAGATAGATAGATACATACATACATACATACATACATACATACATACAATAATTGAGAGAGAGAGAGAATGATAAAGCAAATGTGGTTAAATATCAACAATTGAGAAACCAGGGTGAAGGATATACTGGAGTTCTTTGTGCTATTTATACAACTTTTCTGTAAGTGTGAAATAAAACAGTTCATATATTTTTAAAATACTGAAAAGAAAACTGAGTGCTTGTAACCTGAGTCATACAAAAAGGCTTTTATTTTTTGCCTGTCTACCCCTCCATCTAGTTCTAAAAACAATTTAGCCTTGTGAATATGTAAAAAACAAACAAGATAAAGTAAATTGAAAACAAGTATGAAATCCATGTGGTCTTGGCAAGAACCTTCTAAATTGTCAAATTCTAAAAAATGTTCTTGAAAATTTGACAGGTTATGGGGGGAGATTTCTCTTTGTTTTGGGAAACAGTCCAAACTTCAATATAGTTATTAGTTCCTTTGTGTTCCTGATACCCTTTTATTCAAAACTTGATTGCAGTTAGCCACAGAGAATGTAATACTGCACTATGGAGGCAGAAAATCATCCTATCTAATAAAGAGGTAATATGCAAATTGACCATCACTCCAGCACACAAGATGGCTGCCCCCATGTGGACACAAGATGGCCACCACAAGAGGGCTGGCAGGGGAGGGCAGTTGGGGGGGACCAGGCCTGCAGGGGAGGGCAGTAGGGGGCGACCAGGCCTGAAAGGGAGGGCAGTTGGGGGGGACCAGGTCTGCAGGGGAGGGCAGTTGGGGGGACCAGGTCTGCAGGGGAGGACAGTTGGGGGGATCAGGCCTGCAGGGGAGGGCAGTAGGGGGCGACCAGGCCTGAAAGGGAGGGCAGTTGGGGGGGACCAGGTCTGCAGGGGAGGGCAGTTGGGGGGACCAGGTCTGCAGGGGAGGACAGTTGGGGGGATCAGGCCTGCAGGGGAGGGCAGTAGGGGGCGACCAGGCCTGAAAGGGAGGGCAGTTGGGGGGGACCAGGTCTGCAGGGGAGGGCAGTTGGGGGGACCAGGTCTGCAGGGGAGGACAGTTGGGGGGATCAGGCCTGCAGGGGAGGGCAGTAGGGGGCGACCAGGCCTGAAAGGGAGGGCAGTTGGGGGGGACCAGGTCTGCAGGGGAGGGCAGTTGGGGGGACCAGGTCTGCAGGGGAGGACAGTTGGGGGGATCAGGCCTGCAGGGGAGGGCAGTAGGGGGCGACCAGGCCTGAAAGGGAGGGCAGTTGGGGGGGACCAGGTCTGCAGGGGAGGGCAGTTGGGGGGACCAGGTCTGCAGGGGAGGACAGTTGGGGGGATCAGGCCTGCAGGGGAGGGCAGTAGGGGGCGACCAGGCCTGAAAGGGAGGGCAGTTGGGGGGGACCAGGTCTGCAGGGGAGGGCAGTTGGGGGGACCAGGTCTGCAGGGGAGGACAGTTGGGGGGATCAGGCCTGCAGGGGAGGGCAGTAGGGGGCGACCAGGCCTGAAAGGGAGGGCAGTTGGGGGGGACCAGGTCTGCAGGGGAGGGCAGTTGGGGGGACCAGGTCTGCAGGGGAGGACAGTTGGGGGGATCAGGCCTGCAGGGGAGGGCAGTAGGGGGCGACCAGGCCTGAAAGGGAGGGCAGTTGGGGGGGACCAGGTCTGCAGGGGAGGGCAGTTGGGGGGACCAGGTCTGCAGGGGAGGACAGTTGGGGGGATCAGGCCTGCAGGGGAGGGCAGTAGGGGGCGACCAGGCCTGAAAGGGAGGGCAGTTGGGGGGGACCAGGTCTGCAGGGGAGGGCAGTTGGGGGGACCAGGTCTGCAGGGGAGGACAGTTGGGGGGATCAGGCCTGCAGGGGAGGGCAGTAGGGGGCGACCAGGCCTGAAAGGGAGGGCAGTTGGGGGGGACCAGGTCTGCAGGGGAGGGCAGTTGGGGGGACCAGGTCTGCAGGGGAGGACAGTTGGGGGGATCAGGCCTGCAGGGGAGGGCAGTAGGGGGCGACCAGGCCTGAAAGGGAGGGCAGTTGGGGGGGACCAGGTCTGCAGGGGAGGGCAGTTGGGGGGACCAGGTCTGCAGGGGAGGACAGTTGGGGGGATCAGGCCTGCAGGGGAGGGCAGTAGGGGGCGACCAGGCCTGAAAGGGAGGGCAGTTGGGGGGGACCAGGTCTGCAGGGGAGGGCAGTTGGGGGGACCAGGTCTGCAGGGGAGGGCAGTTGGGGGCAACCAAACCAGCACAGGAGGGCAGTTACGGGTGACCATGCTGGCAGGGGAGGGCAGTTGGGGGCGATCGGGCTGGCAGGACAGCAGTTAGACATCAATCAGGCTGGGAGGGGAGTGGTTAGGGGGCGATCAGGCTGGCAGGCAGAAGCGGTTAGGGGCAATCAGGCAGGCAAGAGGTTGGGAGCCAGCAGTCCTAGATTGAGAGAGGGATGTCCCAGATTGGAGAGGGTGCAGGCTGGGGCTGAAGGCTCCCCCGCCCCTGTGCACACTTTAAAAAACAGAATTTTATGCATGTGTACACACTTTATTAAATTTGCATTTTAAGATATACACAAGGTCAGCATTTCACAAAATTTCCCATTATTCCAAAAGCAGTTATCATGAAATACAATGATTACATAAGTCAGTCAAGCAAAAAGAACATCACCTATAGGATTTTCTTACCATATCATCTCTTGTATTTATTTTCAAATAGAAGCCTGAAATATGATATAATATAGAATAGGAAGAGATAATTTTAATTTATAGCAATGATCACTTTTCAAATATTAAATTTTATATAAAAATAAAGGGGTACTCTTAACCAAGCTAATCTGAAGATTAGCATCTCTACCTTTTATTTATCTCAAAACAATCCCTGCAGAAACTTAACTTTCTAGTCCATTTAAACAATAAAGTTAACCATCTTGCTTCCAAGTTCTCATACCATTGGAACAATTTCATTTTCCTGCCCTAATTCTACCCCACCACTGAATTTGAAAAATAAATATCATCACATTCCAAAGGTTATTTCTTAAGAGTTCTAAATTAGAGCCACTAAATGGCCAAAAGTGTCCCTTTAAGGCAAAAAGACAGTAGAGTGAATGTGGATAAGTATCCTGTAAGATAAAACCATCGCTCAATATTATATAGGAAGAAACATCTTAATATGGTTCTTTCACAAACAGAATAAATACACTGAATACCATAGAAATAATGTTTCTTTAAAATGGCATACTAGAGAACAATCTTCATAATATACACATTTATGTTAGGTTTGAAGGATTATGGCCTTTGCACAGGTGAAAGCAATATGAGAAATAAAGCCATTAATGGTGGTTATTACTATTTAAAATAAACAACGCATCTGATGCTGTAACAAAACTACTTATTGCTAGCTAAGTGATGCTCTCTTACAATTCAAAGAGAATATGTTTCCCTTCAAGCTATACAGTATTACTAGTCAGCGAGTACCTGCAAAGTGCAACATCTTCCTTCAAGATTCAAGGATCTTTGCCTTCAAAACACAGAAGTGCAGTAGTTTTCGTTTCTTACATACATTCAAAAATGGAATACTATGATCCTAGCAGGCAAATTTGCATATTAAATACAGACTATCCACCCACGATATATGAACATTAAAAGAAATCTATCATGACAGACATTTTTACACAATTTTAAATAATAAATAACATAACAATAGACTACATTCAGGTTTTTAAAATAGCTCCATTCAGGATTTACCTTTTAAAAATTAACTTCTGGTATCTCAGACTATCATGTACAATGTTCACAGCTCAAACAGCTTCTTAAAAGCAGAGTTCACAATAACATTGATTTTTTTCAGTTCCTACTCCACATAGATATTAAATTGCCTTGCTATAAGGCAGCATGAAAAAGAACTGGATTCTGATTCTGGTGGCAACACAATGACCAAAACACAGTCAGCAGCACCACTCATCACACAACAAAACAAAAGAATTTAATGTCACAAAAGTAATCAGAAAAAAGCAGCAATCAAAACAGCATGTGGCAGTCACATAAAGCCCCCTTTTCTAGGTACCTTATGATATACATCTTTACCCCAAGGCATCTCAGGCCTCATAATACCACACAGGGCAAGCTGTCAAGCTTCATGTATGCTTTCTAGACAGTAGTTAGTGGGTAAATAACATTATTCATTCATTTGTAGGTGCTCCACACATCTGGTCAAGGCAGGGATTTCTTCTCCTTGATAACACCACCTAGAAATATTAATAATATTGTATATATTCCTTAGGGTAACAGATTTGGGGAGAAAAATATCAACTGTGGTAGCTAAGTCACAAGAACTTGTGTGGTGACTACTCCAGGCATCATGTAAGTTCATTTACACTCTCAGCACTAAAATCAATCCTCACGTCATACACTCCAACAACAAAGAAGCAATATGGGTAGTAATGAAAGCAACTATGTGTTTTTTCCGCTCTGTGAGAAATGGCAAGTGAGCAGCTCAAACAGGAAAAGGAAACAAAACAATGTGCTTTAAACTGATGCAGAAAAATAAAAAAAATATATATATAATGAAAAGCAACTCATCTATTGTGAAATAGATTTGAAACTATGTAGCCAACAGAGGACAAATAATTTGTCAAGCAAGAGAATTTCTGATCTACTCTAGGTGTCATATAACTGCTGGGAAAAGGAACCATTATCAAAAATACTTATCAGTAAAAAAAATACATATCAGTAAAAAAAAAAATACATATCAGTGCTTTCCTTAAACGTATTTGAGATTTAGTCCCTAGATCCAAAATGTGATCAGCAAAAAAAGAGAGACACACACACACACACACACACACAAGTAAGGTCACTATCCTCATAAAATTGAACTTTAGAGGAGAGATGCCAAAAAAAGAATGGTGTCAAAATGGTTTAAATATGTAATACTTTAATCCTCATTGTGGATCAAAGTTCTCTGTGTTCCTCTCACTGAATGATTTATGTAGGAAACAGCAGCTAAAACACTGAATCAGAAATGGGTAAATCACTTGGGTGAGAGATCATCCATCAAGATGAATGGAGGGCATGAATTGGAGCATGCTACTGGAGACTCTGCAATCATGCTGCCTTTAGCCAGTGAGTCTGAGGATAAGCCACTGCTGCTACTGCTACTACTACTGCCATCCAAAATATTTGAACTGAAGACAAAGCAAAAAGAATTATAAGCAGATGTATGTATCAGGGTAAAAGTAAACATAACATGCAAAAACATAGTTTCAAGAACTCACAAATCAGTACTGCATTTGTAAATAATAAAAAGCAAAAAAGCAATAGCAATGAACTACGTCATCATGTACTATATTCAAATACCTGTGAAAGTAAGACACTCGAGGTTCCCTATCATTTTAGTGCTCTCCAGGAGGCACCAGAATGTCAATAAGCCTTCCTCTTGACACGTCACAGTTTTAGTGAGGTTGTTCCCTTATCTTCAGCTAAAGATTTTTCTACCTTATATTTATCTTCTTACCTTCCCATCAGTCTCACAGTAGAAGGAAATGGTTACTAATTGAAGTACCTACCCCGAACTGTGTGAAGTATTCTATCAAACAGTGCTTCATGGTCCTTCTACTCCAGAACCAAATCTTTCAACTGCACTAGATTTTATCACTTCTCCACTCCCCAAAAGACTTTGATTCAAACACATTTTTTCCTAATTTCCTCCATTATTTGCATTTCATATTCTTCTCATTTTATAAATTTCTTACACTGTTTCCTTTCTTCTTGCTTTCAAAACCCAAAGGTCTCCCTACCACCTCTAAAAGATTCCTTTCTTTGATCCCTTCTATTACTATCCAGTTAAGCTTCTAAAAGGAATGCTCTCGATAGCCCAGCTGGCATGGCTCAGTGATTGAGCATTGACCTTTGAACCAGGAGGTCATGGTTCAATTCCAGCTGGGGCATATACCCCGGTTGTGGGCTCGATCCCCAGTGTGGGGCGTGCACGAGGCAGCCGATCAATGATTCTCTCTCATCATTGATGCTTCTCTCTCTCTCTCCCTCCCTTTCCCTTCCTCTCTGAGATCAATAAAAATATATTTTTTAAAAAATAAAAGGAATGCCCTGACTGGTTTGGCTCAGTGGATAGAGCGTCTGCCTGCGGACTCAAGGGTCCCAGGTTCGATTCCAGTCAAGGGCATGTACCTTTAAAAAAAAATAAAAAAAAATAAAAGGAATGCTCTATATCAGTGATGGTGAACCTATGACATACGTGTCAGAGGTGACACGCGAACTCATTTTTTTGGTTGAGTTTTCTTTGTTAAATGGCATTTAAATATATAAAATAAATATCAAAAATATAAATCTTTGTTTTACTATGGTTGCAAATGTCAAAAAATTTCTATATGTGACACGGCACCAGAGTTAAGTTAGGGTTTTTCAAAATGCTGACACGCCGAGCTCAAAAGGTTCGCCATCACTGCTCTATATCCACAGACCTAATACCCTCAAAGTCCTTTCACCTCTTTAATCCTGAAAACTGGCTTCTGCTCCTACCCTTCCACTAAAACTCCTGATCTGGGGCATCAAGAGCCTCTACAACCCAGCACAGGGATACCTTATCCATCCAGCCCAAGCCCTCGTGGCTCCCAACAATCAGTCTGCCCTTCCTCATAAATCTGCCTTCATATTGCAGCATTCACAATTAAAAGCCTTCACCATTTGCCACCAGGTTGCCTTTCCAGCTTTGATTCCCATCAATCCAACATAAAAGCTCTATGCTCTATCTGGCCCAAATTCACTCATTCATTTATTCTATTACTGAGTTCCTGCCAAGTGCAGGAATTATGCTAGATATTAGAAAACAGTGGTGTATAAGACAGACATGGTTCCTGCCCTCATCAAAATTACAGAACAGTGCAGAATACAGACATTGAAATAATTATACTAATAACCATATTATAATCTATGATCAAAGCAATAAAGGAAAGATACAAGGGGCTCTGAGAGTATATAACATGGGAAACCTGATCTAATTTGAAGGAACAGGGAGGAAGGAGGAACAAGTCTCCCTAAAAGTGAAATTTGAGCTGTCATCTGAAAGATGAGTAGGCATGAATGAGGTAAGGTTTGGGGGAAGCAAGGATAGTTCTAGAAGCCAAAAGCAGGCTAGTGTGGCTGTAGTATAGACAGTAAGAAGAACACGATGAGAAACAAAGCTGGAGAGGTAGTCAGGAAGTTTTAGGATTTACACAGAAATACTTTTTATTTTTGAAAAAGAAACAAAGCATAGAATTGGAGAAGGAATTGTGAATCAGAATATATGGGTTCTAATTTAAATCTGGTCACTAGCTCCTTTGCAAAAGCCCATCCTGATCTAATGTGTTCTAAGGGTAAATATTATGAGCCTTTAATATTATCATTCATATGAATTTCTAAGTTAATATATTTCCAGTATTAAGTAACCTGTGGTACATTTGGAAGTTTCTGGGCCCTATACCACCCTCAATGAAATATAACTTCCCACCCACCATGCTTCTCTATTCTTCTATTTTTTCTTCAAAATGTCATTTCTTTCTATTGCCACTGGATTTTTTTAGGTGGAGACAGAATATAAACAGGCTTCAGATTAGTAAAAATTAAAATGGAAACAGTATATTCCACAGTACTCCTACTCTATGCTCACTGCTGTCAAATGCATCATTAATAATACCACTTTTAAGAAAGAAGTTTGGATAATTTAACTGGCTCAGATATTTTTTCAACCAAAAGGCAAAACAGGTCTAAAATATGAATTATTCAAACTACTGAAAGAAAGTTGCACTGATAATATAAGACATTGGAAAATCAAAACACCTTTATATTTGCTTTGGAATATATGTGATATTTTCCTCCTGCAGGATTTGGCCTAGACTAATATTAAAATAAATTTATTTTCCTAAAGCACATATTGGTTGGGCAGCCGAAGGACATGCTCTGTGCTACTTGGCAGAAATAAATGGGCTTGGATTAAAATTTGGACACCAAGCAGATAATCTGAATGTAAATAAAGACTTTCTTATTCCAACCACCAGACTCATGGTGAGTACTGGGTTAAAAGATTCCATTTCTAACAAGACCTGCTTGCGGAAAACCAAGATGGCGGCATAGTAAACACCGGAAATTGCTGCCTCGCACAACCACTTCAAAAATACAACTAAAAGACAAAAAGGACATCATCCAGAACCACAGGAAGGCTGGCCGAGTGGAAATTCTACAACTAGAAGGAAAGAGAAAAGCACACTGAGACTCAGAGGAGGTGCGGTGTGGAAGTAAAGTGCAGAGGTACGGAGGCGCACACGGAAAGGGCTGGCGGCTGAGGACACGGTTGTCTTTTTCATCAATCGGGAAGTCTCAAGCTCCCGACTGCTCTGAACTCCAGTTCTGGGCGAGTCTCTGGGGACCCAGACTCATACAGGGAGAAACTGGAGGACCTGACATCAGGCAGAACTTGAGGGCGGCTTTCTCTCAGAGGCACCTGCAGTGATTACCACAGAACAGTGAGACCCGGGTCCTCTTAGGGCAGGGCTGAGGATCAGCCATAGCTGTTTGCTCCACCCTGTTGATTCCCTGAGACCC